TTGAAAGAGAACAGTTGTGATGAAGTATTCGAGAACGTGTTTATAGACGGGCATTCGAGCATACGGTATTATTATTAACAGTATAGGAATGTTGTTAACGATCATATGCTAATAAGAGTGGAAGGAATGATTATTGTGTCAGTGGATAGTAGTGATATTTGAAATGATTTTAAGGGTAACAAAAGAATAATCATCAAAAAATCAAATCAATAAAAAATGGCAGCGACGGCAGTAGCTAGTGGAGGAACGACAGGAGGCGCGAGTAGCGGAATGACGCCGTCATATCCGATGGCATCGTTATACGTCGGGGATTTGCATCCGGATGTGACCGAGGCAATGCTCTTCGAGAAGTTCAGCTCAGCTGGACCGGTGCTTTCGATTCGAGTGTGTCGAGATGCGATCACAAGACGTTCACTCGGATATGCTTACGTTAACTTTCAACAACCCGCTGATGGTTCGTCACTGTTGTTATTTAGTGATGAGTATTATTGTATAATTGTTGTGAATTACAGCTGAACGTGCATTGGACACGATGAATTTCGATGTGATGTATGGTAAACCGATCCGTATAATGTGGTCGCAACGAGATCCGTCAATGCGTAGATCGGGTGCGGGTAATATCTTCATCAAGAATCTGGATAAAAGTATCGATAATAAGGCAATCTATGACACGTTCTCTATGTTCGGCAATATTCTGAGTTGTAAAGTGGCGAACGATGAGGAATCGAACAGCAAAGGCTATGGTTTCGTGCATTTCGAAACTGAAGAGGCTGCACAAAAGGCGATTGAAAAAGTCAACGGAATGTTGTTGGAGGGCAAAAAAGTGTAAGTGGATTGTTTTCGTTAGTATTTTAGAGTTGGTAATGTGATGGTCATTGCAGCTATGTGGGTAAATTTCAACCTCGCGCAGCGAGAATGCGAGAAATGGGTGAGACTGCACGTCGTTTCACGAATGTCTTCATCAAGAATTTTGCCGACGAATTAGATAAAGAAAAATTGGAGAAACTGTTCGCGAAATTCGGTAAGATCACATCTTGTGCGGTGATGAGCGATGGAGAGGGAAAGTCAAAAGGCTTCGGATTCGTTGCTTTCGAAAATCCGGAAGATGCTGAGAAGGTGGTGACATTTTTTAGTTGGTTTTGATGAGAGGTGCTGAGAAGGTGATATTATGATGA